CGCCAGCGCCGAGCTCCGCCCCCGCGGGCCATTGGTTGGCACCGCCCCTTGCCGGGTGAGTGACGGAGGGCTTGCAGGGGCGGGGTGCAGCCACCACTTCCGCAGAGCCATGGGGCTGTACGTGCTGCCGCCGCGGTCGCTCCTGCCAACGTTGCTGCTGTCAGTGCTGTTCTTCGGAACCCATGGGGCCGCTTCTTCATCGCCACGCCTCACACAGACTACGCTCTCGCCACCGCAGGCCGTGACGAACGGGAGCCAGCCAGGCGCGCCTCACAACAGCACGCATCCCTGGCCAAAGGGCTCGTCAGGCCCGATGCTGCTGCGCTCCTTCTACGTGCTTTCTGGCTTCCTCAGCCTGGCAGTGCTCTACTTCCTCATCCGGGCCTGTAGGTATGTCAGGCGCATGCCGGCCTCCCTGGCGTGCCAATGAGCTCGCGCCTTGTGCCTCACGTGTCAAGGGCGAGCGCCCCGCCCCCCCGGAGTGGGCGTGAACAGCGCATCCTCTGGATCGAGGGTGATAGGCAGTCATGTGATACCGTGGTGCTTGGTAATGCAGGGGCACAGGAGCGGGTTTCTCGAACACAGCGACCCAGGCTGGACAGTGCGGGTGGGGGAGGGCATGCGCCCTTTTATGCTTCTGCTCTGTAGCCCGTGCTAGGCGACACCCCCCAGCCCAACCTGGGTCTGTGATCCACGACGTCCCCCACCCTAGAAATGGAGAGGAGGGCCCCCCAGGCAGGGCCTGACCGAACCGAACCGAACCGAACCGCGCCTTCTTTCTCCGACTCTTTCAGCATTGGGGCTGGCTGCGATCAGTTTTTTGGTTCCACTGATGTTCTTCCTAGAGAGTTGAGGACTCCTCTTCCTTCCCATGGTTCACATGCCCTGCCAAGTTCTGGCTCAGTCCCCTGGCTTCCCTGTTTACTTCCTGTCTGTGGTTGACCTCCAGAGGGCTTTTGTCACACAGAGCTGAACATGGTCAGACGCTTTAAAGGGGCCCTTTTTGTCCCCTACCGACACTCCTGTGGGTGCACAGTGCTCTTGTTCCCTCTAAGTACTTGGTCTTGCATCCGCTTCAGAAGACTCCCTTCCTTTCCCTGGTGCCCTGGTAGTGGTCAGGAGCCGGGGCTTTGGCCTGAGACAGATAGTCCTCAGTTCAGTGTCTCTGGTACACCCTCACCCCTCTCTGAGACTCGGTTTTCTCATCAGTAGAGTAGGATAACAGCGCAGCCCGGGAGGGAGTCTGCCAAAGGAGGTATCCACTTGCCATTATTGACATAAGAGCCACTAACCACCGTGACTGTTGTGAGGCCAAAGAAACACAATTAGTCCAGGAAGCTTCACAGCAAAGCTTTGAGGGTCGGGCAGAGGAGGCGGAGAGCAGAGACAACACAGGATAATGGGGAAGGCAGGAAGCAGGTTGGGGTATCGGCTGCCACTGGAGGTGACCCGAGACAACCACTGATCTGCCTGGGACTGCTTGCAGGTTGAAGAAACCACAGCGGAGGAGCTATGGCCTCCTGGCTAACACTGAGGACCCCACTGACATGGCCTCGCTGGACAGTGATGAGGAAACCGTCTTTGAGACCAGGAATCTGAGATGGTATTGAAGTCCTCCCCCCACCTCCAGAAGCTCTGGGTGGGTGGGTAGAGCAGGGCTGGAGAGTTGGCCAGACCACTGATTCTTGAGGTCATCCATATGCCACCAGGCTGTGTAGCCTTGGGCAAGACATGTGCCCCTCCCAGCCTCAGTTTCCCATTTCTTGCTGATGGGAAGGGGCTGCAGTCTTGGGTCAGTGCTCTGGGCCCAACCCTGAAGATCAAGATCAACGTCAGAGATAGAGAATTAACTGCAGGGTGCTGCAGAGGGGATGGGTTGGGGGGTCTCTCCATGGCTCCAGCCCCAGGAAGATCATAGCAGGCAAAGGGAATGGTAGGAAGGAAGAAGGGCAGGACTAAGGACCCAGGGCCGGACCGAACCGAACCGAACCGCGCTTCTGGGCACCGAACCAGTTGGCAGGAAGTGATGGCTGTTCAGCCTCGCTTGTTGGGGGCATAGGTATGGAGTCCAAGAGTCTAAGGGGCGGTCGTAGCTTTCTAAGCCTGCCAGGTAACGCATTGCTATGATGTGGTAGCCCCTCTGGTCTCCTCCACCTCCCCTAGCTAGGGGACCTCTTCTCCCTTCTTCCTTCCCCCAAGGTGCGAAGTTGAGCAGGGCCTGGCAAGCTGGGCAGGTGGACCCCAATGGTCCTGGGGGCAGGGGCTGGACAGGTGAGAGGGCTCCCAGTCACTTGGAGGGTGTTTCAGGCACAGTTGGGGGAAGTGGATCAGGATAGGCCCATTGCTCCACACCTCTCACTCCTCCCCCTCATCTTTCAGATGTTCAGGTCAGGGAGGCGGTATTCCCAACAGCCCTGGGGGAAGGACAAGAGACTTGGTCCACTCCCAGTGCCTACATACCCTCCGATTCTCCTGCTGGCCTGAGAGCTCGAGTGGGACCTGCCTAGCCTGCCTGAAGCCACCTCAGCCCTCTACTGCCACAGGACCACCCAGGATGCCAGGTGCAAACCGGAGGGGCCCCCGGCATCCCCATCTAGGATTCTGAGACCCTCTGGTTGGACTGTGACTTGTGCTGCTGACCCTCCCTCTGGGAACACAGCTGAGGCCTGGCAGGCAGGTGGGCTGAGGGTCCTGTGTGGGAGTGCCTTCCCCACTGGGCTGGGGACAATAAAGGCAGCAGTGGTTCTGTAGCTGACACCCAACTCCACATTGGGCCAGACCTGGCATCCTGGCTCACAGGCAGGGTGGATGGCAGAACAGGGCTTCATCCAGGCCTGGTTTTTCTTATCTGTGATTATGCTGAGCTTCTATGACCTGTCCCCAGCGGTCCAGAGGGCCCAGGGAGGTATTCCATGAGGTAGACAAGAAAAATGGGAGGACCTGTCAGTCATCGCCTCTGGGCCTAGAGAGAGTATTCCATGAGGTAGACAAGAAAAATGGGAGGACCTGCCAGTCATCGCTCTCTTATTCATCCATCAAAGGCCTTGTATAGGGGCTCCCTCTTCGGTGCTGCCTTCAGCCTGGGGCCCCTCAAGGCCATATTTTCTGGGATCCTCACCTCACCCCATTCACACCACTAGAACCGTTGGGGCTGGAGCTTCCTGTGCCCACCATGCCCCTCCCCTGTCAGCCTCCTGTGGAATCATTGATGAACCTACCCTGGCACCTGACCTCATTTCCTGTGAGGGGTTTGATGGGTTCTTTTTTGGGCTTTTTTTCTCTTCAAGGCACTATGTCTGGGTAGGGTCCAGTTCTGTCACTCCTTTCCCCTGTAAATTTGATCTTGGAGATTCAGAGGGGAGGGGCTGGCCTGTGGCAGCCCCACTGCCTGAGGTCTCACCCCAGACCCCTGTCCAGAGCTACCATGGCCACGTCATTAGGAGGAGCAGCCACTAGGTGGTAGCCTTGTGCTGCCCGGCCTCTGCCCTGCTGCCTGCTTGGCCCAGGTGTGGCCTGGGCTCAGCCAGTTGTACAGGTGGGGAAATAGGTCCAGTTGGGGGCCCTGTTTCTCATGCCTCTTCCTGAGTTCACTGTGGGATGGGCCAAGCCTGCCCCCTGGGTCTGTCCCTTTCAGCCCCACTGACTCTCCTTGCTGAGGCTGAGCCTGGGTCCCTGCCTGTTGCCAGGTACAAAGGAGTCATTTCTGCCAGTCAGCTTGTCACTCCTCTCTCCATCTCCAATCCTCTGAGCTGGTCCCCAGGCTGCCTCCCCCTCCCCGCCCCATCCCCTCAACTCTGCTCACACTTCTACTTCCCCCTCCAGTGTCAGTTGCCACCTCCAGAAAGTCTTCCCTCCTGGACTGCTCCCTGCCCTACTTCCCCACCATTCTTTGGGAGGGTCCTGCACTGAGGCACCAGCAGAT